CATTTTGCTTCCAAACCGAACCGCGAACACTCCTAATAAAAGGTACATAAAATACATCAGTAATATTGGCTTTCTGACCATCTCTTCTAATCACAACTATGTTTTCTCTTCTAGTTGATGTGACATTTCTACCATCTTTAAACCTAATCACTTTTTTAATCGAATCATCTAACTTGGTGAACTAGTTTTTATTCTCAATCATGTGTTTGCTGCATGTTGAATCCAGGTACCGCATATTGGTTGTTTTATTAGTCGACTGGGTATTTGACATGAGTAGGATATCATCAGAGTCTCTTTCTCCAGCATGGACATATTTCACTTCTTCATTATCTTTAGCATTTGATTCCTTCTTTCTTCGACAATCTCAAGCATAATGACCAAGTCTTTGACATTTTTAACAATGCACCTCCTCAATGTCAACTTTCTTCCCTGAATACTTGTTGCCCATGACTTCTTGGTTGAATAAGAGTGATTCTTTAAATTCTTTCTTGACTTCTCATCATTTGCAGGATTCTTTCTTTGCTTGACCTTTTCTTTTCCATACTTCTTGATGAATCTTGCTTGCAATGCATGTTCATCCACCTACTCCCTTTCTGAGTTCCTCTGTTTCATCCTCATTTATGAGCCTCTAATGAAGTTTGAACTTCTTATAACTTCATCTTTTCTAGGTTCTTGGACTCTTCAATAGACACTATAAATTAATCAAAACTTGTAGTCAGAAATCTCAACACTTTATCGAATACATGCTTACACACTTTGACACACATGTTGTGTTCGACTCCGACAAACACAACATGTGTCTACTTAGCTTACTTAAACTTTGTTATCTAACACAACTATGTTGAACATAACTTTCTTACTAAAAACACTGAATTATATCTTCTAACATTCCCATTGTTTAGTTTGATTCGACTCATATGGTTGTGTGATTCGAATCACACATCCAAAATCTCAAAATTTGAAGTTCTTAAAGATATTTTGAGATTTTACTTGTGACATGAATTTAATCAATATCAAATATTATTCTTGTTCTAAAAAATCAACTAATTAACTTAAAACATATTGTTCATACTCAAGCACAAACAGTTTAATTTACGCATGCTAAAAATGTTTGGATATAAAACTTAATCCTTGAATTTGTGCAATTGAAAAGGAGAATGAATGACATAAGATTAAAACCAAAGTAAAGCTTAAGAGACAAACAAAAAAATTACACAAGGGTTTTCCCCTTAATGTATCAGAGACATGCAAATTCAGTCTCCCCCTTTTTGATACTTGATAAGCTTTCAGATGGAATTAAGTCAACTTCAACCAAAAGAAAAACACGATCAATGTTTTTCTTCAATTTCTTGTGCCCCACTGAAGCATTTCACAACACAACATTATAAAATTCCTAAAACAAATCTAAACTCACATTACAACTTCTCCCCCTTTGACAAGATAAAAAAGAGACAGATGCAAATGAGTCTAAACGCAAACATAACCAGCAACAAAAAATGATATTACGGAGAAATAAATAAGTTAAACATAACTAAGAAAAATATACAACATCAAAGATAGAATATAAAATACAAAAGTAGACATGCTATATGCAACAAATACACAATTAGACATGTAACTACATAGCAAAACACAATTATGTGATGAAAAATCCCATGAATGGAAGATTAAATGATGTATGGACAAACACAATAATGTTCAAATGCACATAATTAACAATACACCTTTAAAAATATTTTAAATCAATAGATGAACAATCATACAACATTTTATGAACGAACGAAATAAGAAATGTAAGAAGTAAATAAATGAACATATAAGAACAAAATACAAACAATGATATAAAAAAATATGAGATTGAGAGAAATATACCAAAAGGATTGGTTAAAGTAAATTTCTACAAGAAAAGTTAGTATACAACATAATACAAATATAAAATAAAATGATATAGGAAACAAAATCTATTTAAAGCACGAAGAATATAGGGTTCTCAATTCTATACGTATCTTATGAAATGTTTCGAAGGATAACAATTTTGTAAAGATATCAACAAGCTGATTTTTTTGTATCCATATATTCAAAAATAACACTGCCCTTTTAAACATGATCCTTAAGGAAATGATGCTTGGTCTCTTTATGTTTAGTTTGTGAATGAAGTACTAGATTCTTAGTAAGACTTTTTAGCGCTAGTGTTATTGAATTTGATTAGAACACATCCAAGTTTTAAATCTTAATCCAATAATTGTTGATTTAGCCATAATATTTGTGCACAATAATTACTAGCGGCTTAATATTCATCCTGACGGTAGAACGGGCAACATTATGTTACTTCTTATTGTGCAAAGAAACCAAACAAGTTTTAAACATATGAAAGGTACCACTATTGCTTTTCCTATCTGACTTGCAACTAGCAAAATCAGAATAAGGAAAACTTACTAAGCTACATTCATTGCCTTTGGGAAACCAAAGACCGTGATGTGAAGTTCCTTAAGATACCTCAAATTTTTTTTTACGATCTTAAAGTGGGACTCCCTAGGACACACCTAAAATCTATCACACATACACACTTTAAACATAATATATGGCAAGCGTACCATCTATAGGAGTAGCTAGTCTCTCTGCCTCTAGTGAATCCTCATGCAATATTATTGATCATGTGGGGCACTACTTTGCTGCCTTTTACTTGGGACGAATCCTTCACCTTATTCGGCTAAAGGATCTATGCATCATCTCGAACGCAAGAGTTCGATTCGTCTATTTCCTATAAGGAATCGCCCTTGATATACTTCTTGAAGTGTCTCTCTTGGATCAACCTCCAAATCCCTTTCTTGAGTTATAACAGTCTTTGGTGTGATGCCTTTTGACTCTATGGAACTTACACCATATACCTGGTTCATGACCCATTACATCTACCTTTAGAGCTGGAGGCGTGGGGATATTGTGCAGGTGAAGAACCTCGTGCCATATTTGTTCAGTACGAGTGTTCAAATGCATCGAGCTCTCAGTCGTATTACCTACTATATTGAATGCAATCTTATCTTTAATGGGAGAGGTATAATCACTATTTCTCTAGATGTGTAAAACTTCAGCGTTGGAAACACGTTCCTCTACGTCTTACACCTTATTCTCAATGTTGCTCTTCTGGCCTTTAATGTAACACTTTGCCTTGGTGACCACCTCCGCTAACGAAAGTGTTAACTTATGGGTGAGAGATTCACTGAAGTGTCCCGCCATGAGTCCATTTTGGAACAACCCCACAAACATTTCTTGGTTTAGGGGAACGACTGCGATGGTGGCTTCATTGAACAAATGAGATAGTCCCTTAACGACTCCGAAGGGCTTTATTGTATATTAAACAGGTTGGTGATGGACATCTTCCTATGACGACTAGTGGCAAATTGGTGTACGAGTTTCTTCACCAGTTCTTAATAACTGGCGATAAAGGCTTGTGATAGATCCATATACCATTGTAAGGTTGCATCCATGAAGGTGTCAGAAAGAATTTTTTACTTCAGGGAGTCAGGTGATCCAATGATGGTCATTTGTGTGTTAATGGAGGTGACATATTCATAAAGATCACAACCTATCGAACTTGGCCAAAGAGGGAGGTTTAAATCCTTCAGGGGAAAGCGTTTCACATATATTGTTCGAGAGTAGTTAGGGATCCAACACTTCCATCTCCTATCAGATTTTGGACTCTAACTGGTGTTGTCTGATATTGTGGATATTATCCTCTAGCATTTGACTCTGACTACATAGTTTGTCCATGGTGGGAGTCATCTTCGCCAAGGCGTTAACATCACCGCTACCAATGGTATTCTTTGGTGTATTGGATGAAGCTCTCCCTATTAACCATGGTTAAGGATGGCTAGGAACATGAGTGTAGGGTAAGAGTAAGTATGTGATTATAGTGAAGAAGGTGTGACCTAAGTTAGTTTTATCAGCAACGGTAGGAACCACTGTATTGGTAAAAAAAATTATATGTGTGCATGATATCCCTACAAGAGAAGAGGATATTCAAAGGCCTTAGTAGGTTTATAATAATTTAGGGTGATTAGGATTTGCCACGACGACGAGAAGTCCTATATGGTGATGTTATGGTGAGTTTAGAGGACATGTTCACATGAAGTGAGAAACTCTGTATATTAGCATAATGTTAGGATATTCTATACAAGTTATGATTTGTCTCCTCTCACGTTAGGGGGAGAGAGGTATTTATTGAGGTCTTTGATCCTAAGACTTAGGAAACTCTATGAGGTGGTAACAACTCCCCTATGACTGAAGGAGGTTGTTGACTACCTATTCTTCAAGAATCATGGTATGATTCAGTATGCATAGCTGATGGAGGGATAATGGCATTGTACATGTGTCTTATTAGGAAGGTGAATCCCCTACCTCACAAAAGTAGCACCTAAGCGCCACTTCATGGGGCAAGAACCCTTTCGTATGCCTTATTTAAGAACTTTCACAAATATACACTACAATATTTTTTTTATTAACTTATATAAAAGTATTTTATTAGCTCTCTCTATATATGTATGTATTATGTGAAATTTAAAACTACTCACAAATTAATATATTTGTTGTATCTTTGTGGAACACGTATTCACTTATCCTTTGTCATCTAATTAATTCTATCGATACAAGTTTCACCCAAAAAAAAATAAAATTAATAAAAATGTGTTGCCGAGGTGTTTGACACCTCACATATTTATTTTTTAAATTTTTCAAAATTTTCAAATTCTTTCCATTAATTGTGAGGTGTTGAACGTTTTAAATTGACTTTTTTTCTTTTCTTAAATTGACATTTCAAGATAAAAAACACTTGGCAATAAACCTTTTTTGCAAGGTAAAACACAGTTGGCATAAACTTCTCGCAAAGTACACATATATCTTTATGATAGATTTGTATCATCACTTTAACTTATTCTGCAAGGTAAAAACATCTTAATAGCTTTATCTATCCATTTATCCAGAGAAAAAGTTAGAGAGAAAAGGTGATGGCTAGTCTTGCAAGATCTCATGTATCATTCAGAAGATCAGGTTCATCTGGTCTTGTTTGGGATGATAGATTCTTATCCGGAGAATTAAACAAACTCAATCAAGAACAACAACAATGCAAGAGTACTTCTACCGAAGAATATAATAATAATAATAATATCAAAGAGCTTCACGACGGAACCACCATACGTAGAAGCCGCTCTACCGGCGCTGCCCGAGGATACCGTGCCGGAAAAGTCTCTCCGCCGGCGATCGATCCACCATCTCCAAAACTCTCCGTGTGTGGCTTCTGTAGCCTTTTCGCAGAAAATAGTCTCCGATCAAAGTCTAGAAAACGTCGATCGAGGTAGATATTCCGGTGTGTAGATTGAGTTGAGTTCAATGTCTGTAATTATGATATGGATAACATTAGCTTGAAGAGTTTATGAGAAATTTTATTCTTTGTACGTGAAATTGATTTGAACATGAAAATAAACCATTGACACTCTTGATTTTTAATAACAAACAAATCTTTGGATTTTAGGCTTTGTTATTCTCAAACTTATTTTTCAAGAACAAAAACATACCGCTGTAATCTTCTTCATACAAATAATCCTTATCATCCCAGTTACCATTGTTGATTGTGAAAAGGTTAATCCAAATTTTTAGTTAGTTAAAAAAATGTTTATATTTAAAAGATTTTTAGTTGAAAATACAAAAATTGACAATAATAAATAAACACAAATAATTCAGTTAGTAGTTGTAATGACATTAAATATAAAGGTGTGGATTCAAATCTATAACATCTCGTTTATTTATGTTTAAAAGGTGAAATTTATAATAAAAATAAATAGTCACCGTTCTTTTATACTCAATTTTAATTTTCAATTTTCCTTCTTAATCAAACAAATATTATAGCAATAAAAATCCAGCACTTATTAATAAAGCGAATAGTTTGCAACTTGTTATTTTCATATGCAACATTTGCTTTTATTTAATAAGTGGATCACAATCAAACCATCATTCTTATTGTTCCTTATTATTCTATGCGGAGTTAAAAGTGTTTATTACAGTTAATTTGGTCTTTCGGTATAGTGGAGAGGGGATTTATCTATAAGATTAGTACTTTAACGTTTAAATTACTGAGAGAATGAAAAGTAACAAAAAAGTGAGGATAGATTAGAAAAATTAAGTATGATGTGTTTTCCCTCTTAACTAATGGGAATAATTTGAAACATAAATTGTGGAATGAGGCGTGGATCGTGGATAATCGTCTGAATGATTTGGATGTCTATCAATGCTTGTGAAGGTCAAATTACCTAATTCAGGGAGAATGGAGGTCTACCCATTCTTCGCATGTGCCGACCTTGCTTTATCATTAGGTATTTTGTCATGGGACTTGTGGGCGGCCCATACAACTGCCCTTCAAGCTCTTGTCTCTACTTTGCAAAATGAGAGATTATCATGTATATATGAGATTGCCCTTCAAGCTCTTGTCTCTGCTTTGCAAAATGAGAGATTATCATGTATATATGAGATAACCCCGTTGCTTGCCATTGACATTTTTTATATGAGTTCTTGTGTTTGAACTTTATTTCTTATCTCATATTGTTCGTATTGGTATTCTTCCCATAGTTTCTACCATGGAGATGGCGTCAACTATGCTTCACAAGGGAAAAAAAAGTATATCTCAGTCGATTGGGTGGACCGAGAAACATTGGAGATTGTCTCTGCTTTTGTTTATAAGGGTGGCTTAGATTACACTTTGATTTATGTGGGGCCTTGGTCTGATTGAAGGTGTTTCCACCATATGGAAATAAGATGCTATATAATGAATATGATGGGTATGTCATTCATTTCCATGAGTGTTTATTCTCCCTTATGGGCTTCCTTCTTCCATTCAACAATTTCAAGATCAGTGTCAGGAATCACTTAATGATTATTCATTCGCAAATGCATCCGCTGAGCTAGAATTTTGTCAAGGTTATTTAATATTTGTGTGAATATAGGGGGGGGGGGGGGGGGGGGGAAGCCGACCATGGCTATATTATTCTACCTTTTAAGACTTAAAAGAGTATCATTAATCACGTGCGTGGTCTAGTTCTAATTTCTTTAAGGCAAGTCTTCAAATAATTTTATACTTATTTTGAAAAGGTTAAGAGTTCCAAGGATCGATTCTTCTTGGTCATTCCCTTTAACGAAGAATCTCACACAGAGATTTGTAAAATAGGACTTGTACCCCCATATGTGTTTACATATTTATTCCGCAAATTTTGGTGCCAAAGTCACCTTTTAACGGGAAATGGATCTTACATTTACATGGATGAAGATCTATCCCAAGAAGAGGTATACTTGAAGAGGAAACTTATAGCCTTTTGCAAAGATCTTGGTTATGCTGGAGAAATCGTCCCTTTTGATATGTCAAGGAAGCCGCTGGAACAATTTTGAAACCCGCTTGCTGATGGATGCTAGAAATGAGAGGGAGAGAAAAACTATTTTTGGCAAGTGTAATAAAAATCTTTCCACTCCCTGCTAATTATTCTACCTTTTAAGACTTAAAAGAGTATCATTAATCACGTGCGTGGTCTAGTTCTAATTTCTTTAAGGCAAGTCTTCAAATAATTTTATACTTATTTTGAAAAGGTTAAGAGTTCCAAGGATCGATTCTTCTTGGTCATTCCCTTTAACGAAGAATCTCACACAGAGATTTGTAAAATAGGACTTGTACCCCCATATGTGTTTACATATTTATTCCGCAAATTTTGGTGCCAAAGTCACCTTTTAACGGGAAATGGATCTTACATTTACATGGATGAAGATCTATCCCAAGAAGAGGTATACTTGAAGAGGAAACTTATAGCCTTTTGCAAAGATCTTGGTTATGCTGGAGAAATCGTCCCTTTTGATATGTCAAGGAAGCCGCTGGAACAATTTTGAAACCCGCTTGCTGATGGATGCTAGAAATGAGAGGGAGAGAAAAACTATTTTTGGCAAGTGTAATAAAAATCTTTCCCCTCCCTGCTAATTCTTTGAATAATCTTCTTTGTGATGTCTTGCCCATTAGTTATACAAATGCAATAAAGTGTGAGAAAGAAATGCCTCATATGAAGAAACGTCTTCGAGATATCTTTTTCCCAACAAGTACTTCAAATACTCTGTGTACTGTCGGAGCTTCTGTAACACCCTTTTCTACCCCACGAATATTATGGCAAAATAATAGAATTTATCAGAGTAAAATCTTAAATACCATAAAAATCACCTCAAAGGGCGTACATTTCTCAATAAATTCAAATCAAGGTCAATACTCCGTAAGCAACGAATTTTCTCAAAATTACTCAAAAGTGCTCAAATGAACAAAAGATTTTGGAATATTCCTTGGACAATTCTCGATGAAGCGGGATCTTGATGTGAGAGATTAGAAAGGGATGTTACTTTGACATGTTGACCTCTGTTTGAGAAAGAGAAGGTGAACCTTTGATAGCTTCAACACATGTATTGGTGGCTTGTCATTGAATAGAGGATCAAGTGGCTTTAAATGCCACCATGATTGATAAATATGAATGAGATATGTTGGAAAGAATGTTGAAACTCAAGGAGGAAAATTGAGAAATGGAGTTTTGAAGTTCTAAGTTAGGAGATCTGAATCTCTATATTATAGGATATCTGAATGTGGATATTCATGGGAATCAGATTTCGATTCCCACATATGGCGTCACTGTTCCATGGTGGAACCATAATTGCTCGGTGAATTGATGAAGTAGTGCTTGCTACGGTGTACTTTAGCTTTCGGTGCGGTGGTGAGGGGAAAACCTGTAATTTTAGAACTTTAACATCCAAGTTAGTGAGAGAATGAAAATTGATGTGAGAGCGAGAATGAATTTAAATACTTGAGAATGACACGCTTTCTCTCTTAAATAATAGGACTAATTTGAATCAACATGTGTGAAATGAAGCGTTAATCGCACTCAACCGTCAAATTAATATTAATGATTATCAGTGCTCCTGAAGGCGGGTTACCTACTTAAAGAAGAATGAAGGTCTACATATTCTTCACATGTGCTGCCCTTATTTTATAATTGGACATTTCGTCTTAGACTTTGTGGACGATCCATATCCCTTACCATTTTGTTTCCCTTTCTCCTTTCATATTAGAAAGAAAGAAAAAAAACGTTTAAAAATTTCTTTTGCCATTTTTATTGTTATGATTATTTTTCCACATTGTTTATGGTTTTAAAGTGTATTTTATTTATAGTTTTTTTTTTCAATTACTTATATTTTCTTTTAAATAAAGAAAGCTAAAAATAATATTATAAATTTTAAGTTCAAATACTTATATTTTCTTTTAGAATATAAAAAATGAAAATAATATTATAAGTTTTTGGTTCAAACATTGATGTTTTTAATATTCATTAACCAATTTTAAGTTGAATTAACTAACTCGGTATAAACTATGGGGCAATGATTTGGTTTGACTTGGCAACCCAAAGTGATACAATTTTAATTAGGCTCTTAATCTGAATTATTGACAACTTTATGCATTTTCTATTATTGATGATGATGATGATGATGATTAAGTATGATAAATTTATTGATTTCTTATTAGTATAGTATATTGCATTAATTGGCAAAATTTTAAGTGCTAATGTTACATGTAAATGTAAGAGATTGTATTGGGAAAAACCAAAGTCGTACCATAATTATAATATAAATTTCTGATAAAATATAATTAGAATTTATAGATAATTAATAATTTTTATTTAAAAGTTAATTTGTAAAATTGAATCAAACTGATCAATCAAATTAAAAAAAAAAAGTTTCATTTAAACTGAACTTCAATTAGATATTATCTGTTTCCTTTCTTTTATTTTCTTTTTTCTGAATTTTTTATTTTATTTTATTTGTTGTCATCTTGAATGTTTATACAGTATTTATCATCATTTTATGAATAACATATATCTTTAAATGTTTTTTTATAAAATAAATAAGTAAAATAAAATAGTAAATAAATAATTTTATTATTTAAAAAGATAAATATTTTATTAAAAGTAACATAATAATTTATTAATTTTTTTGGTATGAAAAAAAATCTTAAACTTGTATTTAGAAATATAAGATTAAATTTTTTTATTAAAATTTTTAATAGAAAACAATTAGTTTTTTTAATAGACTAATTTCTATAATTTTATTTTTTAAAAATAAATAAGTGAGATGAATCATATCCAAACTTATAAATATGTAATTGATATTCGTACAGTTAGAGTGAGATATATAGACTTGTTTGAATTTTGAATATTTTTTTAGTCTATTTAAATTGTGTCTTGTGTTTAAATTGTTGGAGATTCACGAGTTCGTTTGTAATTTGTTTTTAAAA